CGGTGCTGCTCAGCGATGCCTCCTCCTCGGTCCAGGCTGCGAGTACCAGCCAGTAGTGAGCCGCCCTCCGCCTCTTACATGCCCCTGGGGCTGCCGGTAAGGAAAACCTGAGCAAGGCTGAGAGCCCGGGAGGCGGGATGCGGGGACCCGTCTGCGCGTGGTGTGATGCTCTCTCTGCTGCTGGTGTCAGCAAACTCCTGCTCACAGGTTCTGCTGCAGATTTGCCTGTTTTGTTAAAATGCTCTACTACTACTTGTGTTTTGAGGCCAGCTTGAACTGAGCAGAAAGTCCTCTTAACATTCAGCCTCAGGACATGGCTGATGGCCCCAAACTTTCCTGTATCTGATCTGAGCAGTTGCATGTATTTTATTATATCTAATTCATAACCTGGTCTATTATTGGAAGAGCTGGTTTTGAGGCTTGGGGAGTGTAGGGAGAAATCAGATTGCTGCCTTTAAATTAGGCAGCTGCTGCAGGGAGACAAATATTTTACAAAATAATGACCAAAATCAGGAGGAGAAAAATTGAGTTTGAGCTGAACTTTGGAGAGAGTTATTAAAAATTGATTTGTAAGTGCCACTGTGATTTTTGGTATCGTCTCTTCTTCCTTAGCTCTTACAGGTCCCATTTTTCATGCAGACTCGAGAGAGAAGCAGCTGCTCAGGAGCTGAGTCTCCCCGCCCAGGCTGCGGGTTGTCAGAGGAGGCACCATGCCTTGGGCACAGGGTCCTGGTGGGAGGGTGATGGTTTGGCTGCTCCTTGGGGGTGCCAGGAGCAGGTAGCACCCCTGGGTCTCATGTAGAGCAGCCAGACAGTAGGGTACACCTCCCACCTGCCTTGTTTGGTTTGCAAACCTCTTCATCCTCTTCCTCGCCATGGCTGTTACCTGCCGTGATCCCATCCGTGTGGCGTGGGGGCCGTACCTCTGTAGGATGGAGCTGCTCTCCACCTGAGCATGTCCTCGTGCCCACCTGGGTGCTTTTCTCTCCCTGCCTGAAGAATTCCACACTCTTCCCCTGCTCTGGGGTTCTGACAGGCTGTCGCATGGTGAGCATTGGCAGGAGAAGCTTCCTGTCCTGGGGAGAGCGATCTCCTAGACAGCCCTTGCGCAGGGGGTCAGCCCCCGTGTGCTCCGTCTGCCTCCCCACGCTTCACTCCTGGGCTGGAGCCGGTGTCCTTCCCCACTCCGGGCCCGGCACCCAGCGGGCAGAGGGAGATGCCGTTGCCCCTGCCAGCTGCCGCCGTGCGTGCTGGGGCTGGTGCGCGGCCAGCCGTCTGCGGTGAGATTTACAGCTGGCTCTGGGCACTCGCAAGCAGCTCTCCATCTCGGTGTCGGCGCTGGTGCTTCGTGGATATTTATTCTCATCTCCTGTTTTCTGGGCTCTGTTTTTTTTGTTTGGTACTTGTTGGGATGAGCAGGGTCGTACCAGATGGAAGTTTGTCCCCGTGGAGGTGATGGGGTTTTTTTGGCATATGAGCCATTGCAGTAACCTTAAAGGAAAGGGGTAAAGCCCAGCTTTGGGAGCTGCAGACGTCTAAAGGGGCCAGGATAAGATGGGCTTTTCCCCTGGTGGAAACTGATGAATGCCTTTGCTGATACTTTCAACGGGAGGGCAGGCAGAAAATTAAGTGATGAATGAAAGTCTGGACCAGGAGGCTGGAGAAGGGCTGTTACAAGGCCTGTGGGGCCTGGCCTCCTTTGGAGCTGCTGAGAGTCCTTCGTGCTGGTCAGAGCCCTAGTTCTCCCCACTGCAGCGCAGTGTGGGTAAGCTCAGGGGGACACTGGACAAACACAGGGGTGACTCCAAATAAATGGGACAGGCACCACCCTTGGGGAAGCATCGCTAGATGCTCTCCTCACTCCTGTTGTCTTTTAAAAGCATCTTTAGTCCACGCTTGGCAGGTTCTCTGGGGCGCAGACCTCAGCTCTGACCCAGAGTGGCTGTCACCTCTCAGGGTTGTGACTGACTGCGAAGGGAGATGCTGAGGACAGGGATCTCCCCAGCACTCTGCCCTGCAGCTGCCCACACATTATTCAGGACCAGCAGCTTGTGCACAGATGAGCCCCTGCCTCTGCTCCCCAGCAGCCAGCCCCCCTCATCTCAGCATGTCCCAGAGAGCCGGGACAATCATAGGCTCCATGCCACACTCCCCTCTCCCAGCTCGGTGGCTGCCGGAGTGCGGGATGGGCCATGCTCTGTGGCCTCTGCTCTCCCACGCTGTCCCTCCAGGGCTAATTGAATCATGTGGCTGGAAATTGAATCCAATTGAATAGATTAAATGAGCCGGGCTTGCCGCTCGCTGCAGCGCGGCTCAGAGGCTTGCCAGGCTGCTGCCGGAGGCTGGGAGCTCCCGGGAGTCCCGTGGGGGTGCAGAGGGGCTGAGGAGGCTGCAGGGAGACAGAAACCCGCTGGGCTGGGCTGGGCTGGTTCTTCAGCTCTGCTTTGACAGATGAACCTTCAACCGTTTCTCTGTGATGTGCAGCCTGGCTGGGTCCCAGGGCCCACAAGGTCACTCTGCTACAGGCATGCAGAGGTTGGGTTTTGCTCATTTCCTCTCTGAAACAATTAGTGACTAATTAGGTGGAGCCCCTCTGCTCTGGGGTTCAACCAGGGCCCTCCCAGTGGTGTACGGGGCTGAGGATGCTCTAATGACGAGTGGCTGTGGCAGCCGTGGCTGTGCCCTGCTCAGCAGCTCCAGGCCCGTTGCTGTCCCAGCCTACAGCAAATGATGCTCCAGCAGCACCAGTCTGTATCACCCCAGCCCCCACACCCTGCTTTCAGCCCCTCTGCTGTGGCCATTGCCAGAACAACGGGACGGGATGAGCAACAGCGAGCAGCGTGCCGAGACTGCAGTCGCAGCACAGGCATCCCCTCCTGTGGAGGTGAGCTCGAGCATGGGGCCCTGCCCTGGGAGAGCAGAAGGACGTGTGCCCGCAGCATGGACTTGCTCATGACAGAGGTGGACACCCATTTTCATAGCAGACTTGAGCTG